CCATCTTCGCCCAACGTAATGAAACAAGTGATGGCATAAAAAGTGCACCAGCTGACTGGGCTAGTTTCATCAAATTATGAGCAATGACAAAACGTTATATGGTTTATATCGGTTATACTTATGTGGCCCTGTGTCCTTGTAGTTGTTACATAGACCTATTCTATAATAACTAGCCTAGGGTTGTCCCTTATCAGATATGCTATGATGGAAATAGACATTAAATCCTAATCTATGATCATTATTGTGGTTTCAATTGGGGTCAAGTTATCTTATTTCATAATCCACATTATCAATATACCTTCTTCACCTTGCAAAAATATTAAAACAGCACCTGAAACATGTTGTTACTCATAGTTTTTGCCGCTGTATAATAAATGTTTTAAGCACTATTTAACAGTATAAAATATTTGTAGTAGTATAAGTAATTTGTATTCCACAAGACAATTGCCATGTAACAATGTCGCAGAAAAGTGCATATGGGGAAAATGTGTTGCTTGCGATATCAACATTACTTCAATTTGTGTAGTAGGTTTCCAATCTAAATATTGAATTTTCTTGTTTTGCTCTCCTGTACAAGCGATGGTCTTTGTTACTGTCGTGGTTTTGGACTCAAAAGACAAAGATTGGTCGGGGGAAAAGTTTTAGTCACCAATAGAGTCATCATGTGTCATTAGTATGGTACAGATGGTTGTCAATAAATACCGACATAGATTCAAATGAGCTGTGAATTGTGATAAATATCTTGAAATGTGCAGTTTTGTCAGTAATTTTGTAAACAATAATAAATAATGATCGATGGAGGTTAATTGATCAGAATCCAGGTGATTTTAAGATCAAAGGTGAAATTTAATCAAAGTTTTCAATAACAGAAAAATTCGATATAAAGTACTAATAATGGCGGTTAGTTTTGAAGATATTAAACATTTTTATCCCTTGTAGGCCATTCAAAATATCGCCATCTTTGACCTTACCATTGTGCATTTTTAATAAATCACGTGTAAAGTGCACTTATCATTTTAAATTTCATTAAATGATCAATTTTCACAAATCTATCCTATTCAGACTCGTCAAATAAATGTTCTGCAACATATTGAAATGGTCAGATTGGTAAAAAAGTGTTAATCCGGTAGATATTGAAGAAAATAAAGAGGGGATTATCGACCTCAGCATCTACAAGCATTGTTCACATCAATATACCCTTAGGTGTCGCCTTTGAAGTCCGCGCTAAGCAGGTGCCTGAAATGGTCAGCGTGTTACTGTCCAGTAAGCATGTGTTTATTTGACCGGAACAATTTGAGATATTTGCCAGTGAAGTGAAGATATTGTTATTGGTTTGAACTGGGTATCACCTTTTAAATTTCAAGTAACAACACCGAGGGAGGGCGCTGTAATCGGCTACAATAAAGATCTCAAATAGTGTATTATTAGCATATAAAACGAAACGCTATTCGCTGCAATTCACAACTGCAGATAAAAGAATTCTATTTTCTGAAGATTTTACCGGCGGGTCCTTAAGATAGTGGGTTTATAGCTGTTTAATTCGGTCTGTTTAATTGTTTTACTATTGCTCTATTGTTCTTTATGGGCGATTTTGTTACTTGATGACTTTGTTGTAGTGACAGGTCAGAATGACTTAATCACCAATATCCGTTTGATCAAAGTTAACTTGATCAACAACTGTAGCGGTAAAGCACGCTTCGGAAACTATGTAGAAAAGTTATTTGACGTGGTTTATGAGAAATATTTCTTCGTGTGGCAATTATTTCAAAATGTTTATTTGAATTACAAAAATTAAACGGCAAGATTTAATTTTTCAATGATATCATATTGCTCTAGATGTTCATGAGATTGATACCCACTATTTACGTATTTGGGTTACACAGATATAGGAATTTTGTTTTTTTGATTAAATAATCAGGATAGTTTGTTTTGGAAATAGGCAGTAGTAAGGAACCATTATACAAAACGAGAAATAATTCATATGTAGTGCATTATAACACACACAAAATATCGGTTAATAAAACGTATACATTTATATAATACATTTTTCTCAGATGAGAGATCGGATCAGCGAACAGTCAGATAGGGATGATAGTCGTGTCATGGCAAACCTTGAAGTTATACGAGAATATTGTCATTACGCAGGCTCTAACCCACACATAGAGCTTATCTCATATTCAGTTGTTGTCAAGGACGACCTAAAATATTCTCTGGCGTCTCCGTAAAGTATCGTAACTGTAGTTTCTATCAGCTTCTTACTATGGAATCGTTAGAAAGATTCGAAGGATAAATATCTCACATTTCCCTCAAGCTATGGCTCAGTGGCGGCTGCAGAACTTAGAATGTTTTTCAAATCCATTCTTTTGAGGTAGGGAGGGTCTTTGAAATTATAGGACTTTATTCTTTATTCCCGTATTTCATGCAATTTGAAAGAATATTCTTTCAATTTTATATTTTTACTATAAAAATGCATATTTTCACTAGTGTTGGCACGATGTATCGGTGAATCGATACGACATTCATTACATTAAAAAGTTGAGATTTTTATAACTTGGGTTATGATTTAAAAAAAAATTCACTAAACACTTCAATCAACTATATTACCAAATATCACAGTTATAAAGTTATGAATAAATATATATAGAAACTTTGAAGATAAAATATTAATTTGTATACCCCATTTACCCATATCGTAATATTTATCGTACCTTGACCCTTGTATCGTGATGAGCATCATATCGTGGCATGATTGACGATACCCAGCACTAATTTTCACCCCAAAAATGTAATTGTGGGCTGTAGGAACCTCAGTGCATTGTTAAGTTCCATTTCTTGTAGTGCCCTATGTCATTCATTGTGTCTCTAGACAAGAGCGTAAAACTCTGTTTTATATTCTGTGTTATGAGAGTAGTAAAATATTAAGATCAGATAATATTCTATCGGGCCTCATTCTATTTTACCAGATTACGTTTTATTCATTTTACTAGACAATTTTATTGCTAAACCAAGATTCTTCAATTAATCATATTATACAATTTATTATCTATCTGTGTTACATTTAACGAAAGGGGTGGGACTGTAGGTTTTGTCGTCAGTTCTAAAAGGTTCCTAAAGGTTGACGAATAAAGTCGTCTGAACCTTTCATTCATTCCATCAATCTGGTCATAAAGAGTTATTCCATAAAACTTTGCGAGAGATTTGGTCATGGACGACAAAGCATCCTTGATAATTCGGTATCCTTATGTTAGGTTATGCAAAATTATTCTTCATGAAATAGGAGCGAATGTATGAAACATCCAGAGTACCAAGGATTTCATTTAGCCTGTAACAGTTATGCATGAAACATCTTAAGTAAAACCTAAGCTGAGCATTATTGGTGCATACGTGTCCTGGTCTATTTGTTGTCAATGGTAATGATTGTTTCACTCCAGAAAGAACAATGTTTAATGTGCAAGGATGGAACATTGGTCTCAATCGCACCCTTTCACAGAAGGACCTCGCCCCCCTTTAATTCTTTGTTAGCTATCATATATGCACAGCTGACGACCATGCATAAGAATGTTGTTGAAAATTTGTTGTTCGTCGTTCGAATATAATAAATTCAAAGCTTTAAAGAACTGGGCGTGGTTTCCATTTCATTTCATTTGAATCGCCGTTCTTTCTTTGGTTACTTTATATTTTTATTTTTATCATTTCAGCCCAATGACAGCTGATATTCCGTGGCAGTAGCTACTTACCACTCACTAGTAGACGTTAACTTATTTTGATATATTTCAAATAGAAGAATTCAAAGCGCAAATGGTTTTTTATTTACAAATCTACAGTGAAGTTTGGAATTGTAACATTCTTTACATATCTTTTGGTCATGTTTTAAAGTAGCTGTGTCAAAAGGATCCATGTTTTGTAAGCCCTAGACGGATTATAGATTATCAGATTAACGTATACCACAACAAGGTAATAAACAATTAGGTCATCTATCGTGACGTATAGCTAGAGAAACAATGGAGGCTGTAATTAATTAGTTTACTTCATTACATTATTCATAACAATAGAAATATTGCAGTTCGACTCCAGGTTTAACGACAGGACATAAAAACTCTTAACATCTCTGATTTTCTATACCTGTGATATTCAGTAATCGGTTTGACAGCCCTTAATGTTGATTGGTTCATTCAAACTACAGAATAGATTATTACAGTGGTGATTGGTTGGTTCAGTGATCAGTATCTGAAACTTATCAGATTGGGAATAATAGAATTTACCGCTACACTTGGCAGGGAATTTGTAAAGACCTGTTTTAGACAATTGCGGGTCATTAGAGGGGTATATTGTGAGGCTATTTGGGAGCTATCGAGATTATCTGGTTACAAGCCTCATTACGTGTCCATAATCCATGTTACATATATAATTTATGTTTCTCACAGTGTAAGTAGCTGACCAGTTGGTAACCATCTACAGTAGTGATCGGACATAATATTGTTTCATTTAGAAGTTATCTGGAGTACGTCTGCAAGGGATTTTCATTGTGAAGAACTTGTATTCATCGGTTTAACCTACATTCAAACATTTTAGCTGAATTGACCGTTACTCCTTCCTGGACAGCATTACAAACTCTATGCTTACTGTGGTGACAACTTCGGATTCGAATTTAAAATTATTGGAAATTTTCAGGCCAAACGGAAGGATATAAAGGAATTTAATTTCGATTCACGATGACATTCGTCAGCAGTCGTTCAAGAAGAAGTAAGGCCAGTAGTCGCCAAGAAGAGTTCGAAATATATGAAATGAGGGACATGTCTCACAGAAGATACGAAAGTCATTTATTCGATCGAGATCCCAGAAATACCATCAAAATGAATCGTTCGAAAAGAGAAGAGCTGAAACAACCTTTGACACTAACAGAAGAACTTTCTATCGACGTTCAAGTTTTGAATCATTGCTTTAGTGACATTGAACGGTTTGTGGGTAGACTTCAACATTCCGCTGAATACAGCCGAGAAATGGACAGACGAAGATCACGATACCCGAACGATCGCGACGCGATATATGGTAATTTTGCATACAGATATAGAAGCCCTCCAGTTAGAGATTTCACTGATATTTTCCAGAAGATGAAGTTATCTATCAATTTATTGGCGAAATTAAAACCCTACATCAACGCACCCAATTCTCCCGAGCTCGTCCATTTCCTCTTCACACCACTCAGCCTCGTATTTGACGCCAGTCGAGATCCAACAATTCGGCATTTGAATTTGTCAGAGAGTGCTATTGTACCAATGTTGACCGCTGCTGCAAAAGATCTCTTGTTGAATTGTCTCACTTCCAAAGAAATTGAGCTTTGGAAATTATTGGGGCGAAATTGGACAATGACTGTAGACGAATGGAAAGGTCTTCTACCATTTTATACACCCAAGTTCTATGACGGTTGGGAACCTTCACCAAGTCGTCCAGGAAGTGTACTCGGCTCCAGAAGAGATCTCAGAACAGCTGTATTGGCGAAGGCAGCCGAATCAAAACATCTTTTTGATAAGGAGTTGGCCTTGAAACAGAGCGATTGCCCATCAGAGCCGTCGACTATTTACTGTAAAATCAACGACTGTAAAGGACTGGTACATAGCAATAGCTTCAAAGACCCTGCACTTCCGGTTCCAAGACTGGAGAAACTTAACATCGATGGAGAAAACGCTCACGACAATTCCTTTGTTGATGTTCATTTATTCGAGGTTAGCAACGAAACGACCGAAAACGCAAAAAATAGAGAACCAGCAGTACCACCCGGTTCCATATTTTCTGGTGTCCAAGTTTATCCTTCCGTGGAAGCAAGTCAGCCTAGTCCTACCACAGTCACTTCAAATATAGAAGTACACTCCAACCTAGAGAACAGTACAGGCATCATGCATATACCTGTTGTAATCGAAGAGAAGCCATCATTGCCAACAATTTTGGATAACACATCTGCCAGTAGCGACGAAGATAGTGCAAGACGCGGACCATTTATTGTTAGTAGCGATTCGGCTGATTTCATTCAACAGCTACAGAATGAAGGAGTGAAACCGTGCGTAGTGATACACGATCGTGAAGCCGGAAATACAAGGGAACTTAAATTAAAGAAGGGCGATATCGTCGGACTGATCGATAATACGAAGAATTGGTGGAAGGTTCGTAATCAGGAAGGAGTGATTGGGTTTGCCCCTTATACCATATTAAGCACCTTGAAAGAAAATGATGATCGAATCGCTTTCAAGTTCTAAATTATGTAAAGACATGTTGTAATGAAATCCAGTGGACTGGAGAATATTTATGCACTATCATACCCAAAGCTGTTGACACGTTAATGTGGTAAAAAAGTCATTGTATAATTGTTAGATTGAGATTTTGGAATTTGTTTAGGATGTTTCTCATAGACAAATTGCGTCTAATTGACATAGGTTTCGAATATCAGGAAATTGAACACGGAATGCTTAGATAAGAGTTGAGTGACTATAGGGAGAGACTTCTATATAGTTTACAAGCATATATGGGGAGCTTACAGAACAGGAGTTCGCCATACTCGATTCCCGATTCTATACATTTTGACAATGTGAACTGTATATTTACAATAGTATATTATATCATTGTAAATACACAGTTCAATAATTATCCTCCATATTTTTTTCATAAAAAACATATCACGAGATTTTTACAGATACAAACACTCTAGATTGACAAAATATAGATAATATTTTGTTTTGTTAAAGTTTATAACATTTTCTTTGCAATGAGTTCACGAAACTAAACTTTATCAAAACGGTATTTCAGTCGGATTGAAAATGTGTATTTGGTGGAATTGTAATCATTTGTTTAAACGTTACATCACTCACAATATCATGTATTATTTTGTTATAATTCTATCAATGTAAATTGTATATATGAAGGTGCTTTACCTGTTACAGAAAATATTAAAATTCAGTAAATGCAAACGGGTCATTTAAATAATATATATAGAAACCAGGAACGATGCTGCAGAAGGGTAATATGTTATGAAATATTAGATAACGGATCACAGTTTTATGGTATGCTAACTACTCTTTTTAATTCTACCTGACGTTTCAACATAGTGACAATGTAAATTGTTGAAACGTTGTGAACAATAATCTCAGGAATAGTTTACAATAAAATCAAAGTGTTTCGTTCTTTAATGTGATCTCTAACCTTAAACGCTGCTTATGGATTTTGGAACATTTTGGTATACAGTTAAAATAACTTCTTAGGCGTCTTCAGATTCAGGTACCTATATGAAAGTATCGACAACAGGTATAACTTTTATAGTCACCATGCAAGCCTAATATTACGGTCCCGAATGAGATCACAATCTTGACAAGACTTTATGGAGTCTCTGACAATATATATAGATTGTAAATTGGACTGATGGTATAAGGATTGAAAACATAAAACTTCATGTTAGTCCCCCTAATAGCTGATATGTATACAGAAGTCTTCCAAATGATGGGTTGCGGCCAAGAGAATTATGATAAGAGCTCCATTCCAGCTACCCATACCACATTTCAGGATTAACATCCGACGCCCGATTCACATACCATTTAACAAATACAACACACACTCCAAGTCTACACAAGTTTGGACAGACTTATTACTGGTGTTACTGTCATTACCATAATGACTCGATAATATCAGTGATAATTGCACGTAAGAATAATAATATCGCCCTGGAAGTAACAACAGTCAAAGTCTTTGAATTGTAGAACATCACATCCGTTATTTGTATTTATAAAATGATCTGGACATCTGCAATAAATCGTATACTTCGATAAGACAAACATTAAGGTTTCTGTATCCCTTTAAGTTGGATCTCGAGCCAATGATTTTTTAAGTCTTGAAGCGCCTTTAAGCTCGTGGAAGGAACACCTATATTTTGATATTATAGTAGCTCTAGTAGCTATTTTTAGACAATTGTCAACCGGAAGTGTATACGACCGATACACCAACTCCAGTATCTTTCCCTTGAAGCATAGTTTACTATGTAGCAGTTAGTTATAAATACAAGCATTGTAGCCTATGCATCGATTTAAATATAGCTTAAATTGTCATATAACAAGCCTTACGAAAATATTTTGGAATGTAGGCATAGTTTTAGAACTCTATTGTACTTGAATGAGTTTGCTGTCGATTACAGGGAACGTGGATGTTGCTTTTGCTTCCTGCTTAGGTTGTAGACTTTATTCTGAGTTTAGGACAACGCCATTCAAACAGTGGCGGCTCTAAAAAAAAATACTTTTTTTTGTGAAAATATGAATTTTTACATTGTAATAATGTAGTAATATTGATGGTGGTAGAACCTCCCAATCCAAAGTTCTGCCTTCAAATGAAGTTTATAGACATCCAAAATAATGTTTAGACTGTTTCAAAATTAAAACAAATTTGTTAATATTTTGCCAATATTCGTTCATATGCAACAATAAAGTTTTACCCGACGAACAGGCTCGTACACGATTTGAAAAACATGTCACAAATATTATCATTTCACAGTTTTCCTTTGAATATTTCTCATTTCTAACGATTTATAAATATCACCGTCTTGAATGGCGAATTTCAGTGTTTTCGATGAAAATAGCCCAGGGTTAATTAAACTTGACTGACAAAGTTTAATCATAGATTCAATCTATTCAAAAATCGATTAGAAACGGTGTAATAATACATCAGCCCTCGCTAATATTATCCCATAAAACGGTGTCATAATAGATCGACCCCAGTCAATATTGTCCTAGGCCAATTTCGTAGTTATATTGTCTAATTGTATAGAGAGGGGCTAAGTAGGTGCAAATTAATAGAAATTTCACACCCTTATCTCGACCTACCCTATACCATTGAAAACTTTTCTTTAGAAATCAGCTTAACGGGTTTTATTAAATGTATTGAAGACATTTGTTAAGATTTGAACTGATGTAATTTACAATAGGACCAGGTCAGTCACAATACAAATTACCAAATCATGAGACATGCCTAGTTTCTTTGTGATTTGTCTTGATTTTCTGATACAAGGTATCCCCTTGTGTTAAGGGCACATCATTAGTAAGAATGTTAACGAGCCCCAAGAGCCCTTGACCCTCGTACATTGTATTATATATCATTGACAACTGTTTTTACCGTTCGTATTTGGCACAAATTACTTTTTTTCAATGTAGGGAATAGATTAGGATTTGTTGATCACTGTTCTTAAGACTAATGGAGAAAACACTGCAAGGACAAATTCCTTAAACAGTCAACATACCCGGATGATGTCAGGAAAGAGAAATGATCAACCGCGACACCCTGTACATGTAAAAAGCAAAATTATTTCAAACTAGCATTTAAAGGGACATCAATAGCTAATTTGCTTATACGGATGCATTAGCATAGAGTTTGTAGTTTTGAACATGAACCTCCTCATGATAGCATTTTCCTTTGGGTTTGGTGATTTTACATAGAAGAGCTCGAACTGCTTTAAGATTTACAGAATACCAGTAGTTTAAATTATAGCTACCACTTCACAAAATTGTATAGAACCCAAAATAGAATGAATTTGACTTCATTAAAGCGAGATAGAAATATCATTCAAACAATATACTGTCCTGAATTCAAATCAATTTTACCCTAATTACAATTACACTGTAATAAGTTTCTTCAAACATTGAGAAATATTGACAATTGTTCTGATGTTCTGACACCAATTGTTGATGAATCAAGTGTCTTTGTTTTGCCAACTCGGCTATGGTTTGAATGATGACGTTGCTCAGATGACATCTGTGGTAAATACGGTATAGAAAACCTGTCATGTCAATCAAAAGAGTTATTGTTTTCGGTATGACATTGGTAAATATCAGTAGATTGAATGTATTCTTAATCATAGTAGCAACAACAAGTCTGAATATTGTTATCTTTTAACTGAGACTGCGAATACTGTTTTATTTTCTGACTATGCAAATAATCCATCATAAACTATTTGGATCAGACTATTTCGGTTGCCAACTTGTGATTTGCATAATATAGTCTACTACTTAGAATTGGAAGATTAATTGCATTCCTTGACATACCGATAAAAGAAAACAGAGAACTAGGCCATTTTCCTTGTATAAGTTCTTCAGAAGAACATAACCCACCATTAAATTGATTTCTCAAATTGGCCAAATTATGTGATAAAAGGACGTAAATCTCCTTTTCAATTAATTTCTACCAACCAAAATGATAACCAGCTCATATGAAACGATTTACTGAAAAAGAAAACAATCAAAGGATGAAATTGGAATAAACAAGAAGAATTTGAAATTTTAAACGTTGTTCCATGAATCAGTTCTAATGAGCAGAAGGACGATTTGACCAGACAATTCAACCTTGGACTTTTGCGCACCTTTTCCATACACAATGCATGTCAACATTCCGAACAGTTGGTCTTAAACTACAAACCCACTTGTACGTAACCTTGACACCTTGATGAATGTCCTCGATACAATACCGATAATTTGACCAGACAAGAATCTTGAGCAGACGAATCAATTTGGTATCTGCTGATCAGATTTCTCCTTGAAACAATGTCCGCTAATGATGGCACTAATTAACTAGAGGTACATTCGATTCCTTTCGTAATTACAACCAAACTCTTGAAAACCACATTGGCGACAAAATTAAGGCACTCGACCATATATTACATTAAGCTCCTTAAGACAATGATGAATGTAGCAAATATATTTCAGACCACAACTGTGCTGGTGCAATGCTCTACAATTAGGGCCCTCCACTTTGATCAATTCGTCATTAAACATCGTCAAACAATTCGTATACTGATTTTTCATGTAATGATTGTCACAATGTAATCAGTCAGTACCATGTATTCGAGCGTTGAAATGTATCATAAATTCACCAGGATTCAAAATTGAACCATTTATGAATAAACAAAACAGGCACGGAAATACTCTTTAGTCATAAGCAGATTCTCTGTGAATGGCGACAATTTGTCATAACTCGTGCAATCCCCAGCTTCTTGAACCTCCTGATGCCACTTTCGGTTGCGTTTATTAAATTGCAAATTCTTTCAGAGATTCTACGTGGTTTATTTTGGAGGTTTTAAAAAAATAGAGAGCCCGCTATCGAACATTGGCATGACGATACAAGACACTCCCTGCGAAGACTGTTACTAAATTAGCTAGCTAGTTCAATTCAACATGTTATTACCCCAACTCCCGTAGTTAGTTTAACAACAGGCGGTGTTCAGATCTTCATTTAAGATTACATTTCGATTTGAAGATTACGGTACTAAATTAGCTCGCTCCATTCACATCGTGTCGTAATCACACAAGAGAGGAGACGCATTCATTCTAATCAAACGTCCGTGTTTTAATCAAGACTTCAGATGATTTAAACTTGTAAAATTGAGAGTAGGTTTTTTAGTCCATGTCATCGGGGCGTATACATCTATATATACTTTGAAGGGGATGTCATGATTTATTTATTTACAGATACCCACCCTTTTTTTCTTTCACTGTGCCTAATGCTTACTTTTGAAAATGATTTGAAATGAAATTATGTTTTTAATCTTTTGTTTCTGTGCTATATTTGACTCTTCTGACGGGCAACGCCAAGCAGTGAAAGAAATTTCGCCAGTACACTAATGAAAGTCAAAAATAAACTCATCCTCACAGAAAGACATAGAATGGGTGGTTAGAAATTATGCGTTAACTTTCCACCTTTTCTATTGTATAACTAACTTAAAAATTGATTCCACAGCCTGTAGGGATTATATTTGAATAAAACATTATTATTTCTGTGTGAAATATTAAACCATATTATTTGTATATAAACTAATCCAGTATTTTGACATATTGACTGTATTTAAGCTGTTCGTACCTCTCGATACAGTAAGAAATCTAAATATTTATATATTGTGTCGGTAAAATTAAGATATTGTATACATTTCAACCGGAAGTAG